CTCCTCTCTCTCACCCCATTTTTGTTTTTTTTTTTCCTTGCTTCTTGGTTCGGTTTTCGATGCTTATGTACGATTCATAAGTGTCCACGTATAGCCTTTTGCTATACGTGAAACCATCAAGCAAGGTCGCAAGTAGTCGTTTTGGGGCGTACGGTGTTGATGATAAAGACACACCGAAGTTAGAGCAACACGATGTCATATCCTATAACATCAAGATCCAGATATTTGATGAATAATAGGATATGATTTCCTTTACCGACATAAGTCTAGCGGGAGTTGGCTCGAACCTCCTCAGTGGGTCGGCGATCCTATGCCTGACAGTGTAATCGTCTTGTGGACAATAAAAAAGAATTGTTAAAATCTATTTCAAAATATAAAATACACTCTTCTTTATAAAACAAGATTTGATAATCTTTTTCAAGATTTATGTGTGTGTCAAAAATATAAATTTTAAAATATGTTTTTAAAATACATTGTCCACCTGACGAATACCTGTTTAGGCTGGGAAATAGCCCTCTAAGTGAGGTTCAAGACACTCTTCTAGACGAGTGACGGGTTCTATACGTTCGGGTGACCGAGCAGCCTTCGTGGATTCCTCGAGAATAAATATATCTGAGCCTAGTCCCATACGAGTGCTTGCGGTCCCCCTCACTTGGAATTTTCTTTGGTTTTATCGAAATTTTGGGACGGAGCACTCGTGTTACTTTTTCTTTTCTTTCGGGATTTCCCCAGGAGTTTTGAGGATTTTCTTTTACTTGAGTCTCTTTCGTTGATTTTCTCGAGTTCCTCCGCTTTTCTTCGGGTTTCCTGGACGACGTTTCTTTCGGGATTTACTTTTTGAGATGCATTTAGGTTTGCTATGCTTAAGGGACAGCGAATTTCACGGGCGTACAGGTTTGATTTACATTTTACAGCATTTAATTTTCCTGTTCCTACCTGCTGTTGTTCTTATATAGCATGTTTTAATTTTCCTGTTCCTACCTGCTGTTGTTCTTATATAACATGTTATAATTCTCCTGTTTCTACTTACTACTGCTCTTCCTGTGTATCATATTACTCTTGTTTCTACTTGCTACTGTTCTCTCTGTATAACATGTTACACTTGTCATGTTTCTACCTACTACTGTTCTTCATGTATAACATGTTATACTGCTCTTGTTTTGCCTACTACTGTTCCACGTGCATTATATTGTTTGTTCCTGCTTTGCACACTTTATATTATATAACTTCAAGCATATTTCTTTTTTGTATAGGATGTTTAGAGGAGTATAACCATAGAGCCCTTTGATTTAACACTATAATTGGCCACCCTAGAAAACTTAAACTCGTCATGTCAGGGAGCTTGGAGTTAGCTCGGTCGGCAGCACGGTCATTTTCAACAGCAGAACGTGTCTTCCCCAGCAAAACCTTTCATTTCTTAGAAATTAAACAACAATCCATAGGATTTTGAGGTTGTTTGCCTAGCGCAACATAAATCCTCTACATTTTCTTTAGACATTCGCATAGCTCTGCTGTACGATTTAAGCCGTAACTCATTCTAGGTTCCGAAGTTGTCGTCCGATACGACGTAAACCCTCATATTTTCTAGGCAATTTGTGTGACCCTGTAACGCAAATATAAGCCTAACTAAATAAAATTGGCCCAGGATGAAACACTTTAATAATTTCTTCTTAAAGCTGAAGTAGGATCTGTGGCTTCCCCTAATTTCTCTTCATTTGGATTCCTTAATAATGTTCCAGATTTGAGTTTTTCCCCCTTCACACCGCTGTCTCGATTTCGTTGTAAAGTCCTATCCTTTTGACCTCTTTGAAGACATTATCCCCTGATTTTTATCGAGAGTTTTCTTAGGTGACTTCGGTCATTTAAGATGTAATTAACTATAGGGGCTTGTTTTTATAGGAAGCTTTTCCGAACCCAACTTAAAATAAACCCTATTTAATCATTCGTATTAAATAGGGGAACTTGTCGGCAAATAAAACAGTTTCGCAGACCCAAACGGATGTCATATGTTTTC